ATATCCCAGGATGCATCACACACTGTCCCCCACTCACTGAGGTACTGCAGCTCCACCCTCCCGGAGCAGGAGTCAGGGCCGCCCACCAGCCTGGAGTTTGTGTACCCTGCAAACAGCATGGATGTGGAATAACAGAAAAACAAATAAGCAAATACAGAATATCACCATGTAACAGCGATTATTTATTTCACTTGGTGTGTTTATATTAGAGAGATTTGAAGAGTATAATTAGCAACATTCAACAATACAGTGGTACCTCAGTTCTCAAACTCATTAGAACTCGAATTTCTTAAAGTCGAACCAACCAGTTCGAAAAAACATTACCTAGAACTCGATCTGAATCTCAGAAGTCAAACCGTGAACACCGACCTAAGATAACTTGTACGCGTGGGGAAATGAGTGGCGCCACGTCTCTCAGCGGAAACAAAGGGTAAAGCTTCAGTCTCAGCTTCACATATTCGCTGTGATAGCATCATGCTTGTTTACACTAGCTGAATACATACATTTAGACAGTAAAAATACATTTAAATAATGATAGACAGTAACAGTAATTATTATTATATAATAAAATACATTTTAAAATAAGGATTTCTTATTCATTATTTTAATATTAATAATACACCATACATTTAATTATAATAACATTGTTGTGCCGAGCCGGGACGGAATGGAGACAAAGGTGCAGACGTCAAGGTATTGGGGAATACAGGGTTTAATTACAGGTAAGGCAGGCAAAACGCAGACGGACAATACAATGACCAGACTGGGGAAATACAGAGGACTAATGACAACAACCAGAAACATCTGATCACATGGGGATTCCACACGGGGTTAAAGAGGGGGCGTGGCACACGGAAGGAGTGGACGATCGGGGCAGGACACTTTGTTTTTTTTTTACTTTACACATTCTTTGGATACATTTACTTTCTTACTTTACAAATTACTGTTTTGATAAATGTGTTTAGTACAGTATATGCTCTTCTTGTTTTATCCGGTTCATTTTGTGTTTAAATGCTAAAAAAAAAAACATATTTGGGTGTAATTTTTTTGGGGCCGGGAACCAGTTAATTGGTTTTCCATTATTTCTTATGGGGAAAATTCAATCAGAAGTCGAACTTTTTAGGATTCGATCTGGAGTTCTGAACGGATTAAGTTCGAGTTCTGAGGTACCACTGTATTAGCAAATTGTCTACTATCTATGTTAGTAAACCATTTCCCAGCACAATAAATTAACTTACAGAAGCACTTCAGTCCCACGTCAGTCTTATGAGTGCAGTTCTGTTCCTCTGTGGATGATCTCAAACATTGACGAAAATCAGATTCATCTCCTGTGCAGTTAATCTTCTTTGACCACACCTGCCCGCCCCCCTTCCCAAATGCAGCCACCCTGGGCTCCTCCACAGGGATCCCACAGCCCAGCTGCCGACACACGACCTTTGCATCCTGCAGGTCAAAGTCAGGATCACACACTGTGTACCATGAGCTTAGGTGCTGGAATTCCAGTCTTCCAGAACATGGATGATTTTCACCTTTCAGCTGCATTTCAAACTTTCCTTAAATAAAAAAAATAACAAAACATCAAAATAAAACAGATTGTTAGATATCGCTAAAGTTAAAACAGCTCTCACTGATAACCCTGTTGCAATTATAGTCTCCTCTTCATACTCTTAATCACTTTTAATACTAGCAATGTTTAAGGAATCTTTCTTATTTAGTGTCCTATAGTTACTGGAATTGAAAGATAATTGTAATCATCTGTAACTATCAGAAGATACAAATCAGAAGGCACCTTAGAAGGGATTCCAGTCCTTCGAAGGCTCATATTCAAGTCCAAATCAAAGTACTCTTCCATTTTGGCGTTTTAAATACCTAACCTGACCTGCAGTTTTTGTTTAGTATGACATGTCTACTGCACACCTTTTTCTATCTATTCCCAAAAAGGCAGAGCAGGGGTGTCAAACTCAGTTTAATTAATAACAGTATGACCCAAACTTTGCAGTTATTTGGTTGAAATCTTTACTGTATGGAAATAACATTTACGAATGTGAACTTTATAGGAAACATTATTCCTGAAAGTTCCCATTTAAAATAAAACTGAATAATGTACACTAAATTGGGGCGGTATGGTGGTGCAGTGGTTAGCACTGTTGCCTCACACCTGTGGGATCTGGGTTCAAGTTTCTGCCTGGGCTACGTGTCAAGTTTACATGTTCTCCCCATGTCGTTGTGGGGTTTCCCCCCAAAGACATGCTGAGGCTAATTGGAATTACTAACATTGCCCATATGGTGTGTGAATGTGCCCTGTGATGGGCTGGCCCCCTGTTCTGGGTTGTTCCCCACCTTGTGCCCATAGCTTCCAGGATAGGCTCTGGACCCCCTGTGACCCAGAAGAATAAGCCAGTTGGAGAATGGATGGATGGATGGATATACAAAATCCTTTCTGTAGATATTGAATTAAATGCATCCACTGGACTGTTCATCTGCTTATATTTTCCATTATCTACTGGATCCTTCTTTTAAATGAGGATACTGAGGACATTGTGTGGCCCTGTGGTTTTGGGCCATCAGTGACACCGTTCAGGTTACTGACCCTGATGGAGTCGCTACATTAGTGTCAGGAGCAGGACAAGGTAACCTGCACATGGGGAGTAAGGCTGGTGGTGTGTTTCCCTGAGTGTGGCTTTTGCTACATTTGGTCCAGAGTAGGGCTGTCACATTTTTCAAAAATCAAATTTAAACAAAATTCAAATGTCATGCAATTAATTTGCATATATTAGAATACCTCACAGCCCCCCTGAAAAAAAAACACAGAATTATTCTTTTCGGTATTTTATTAACAGCCTGTACAACATCACATTTGTATGGAGCAAACAACACCAAACGGTCTAATGGTTGACAAATTTTTGAATATCATTTAAAAAGTGACAGCCCTAGTGCAGCATAAGACTGTGTATAGGAGGGGGTGGTATGATTAGACTAGTAGGGCCCTATTTTATACCCAGCGCAAAGCGATGCCAGGCGTGGCTCAAGTGACTTTACTAACATAAGCCCAACGCAGTTCTCATTCACCCACACAGTACCCACCTCATTTAAATAGCAAATGTACCTGCACCCATCTGAGCGGTGTTTAGCTCTTGGTGTTAAAATGAGGTCCCGTCAGGTGCCTTATTGGTGGCACATTGCATTTTTGAGGCAGCAGAAAGAGATCGTGCTGTTGGCCAACAAAAACCCGATCTATTCAATGGCACAGCATTTAACTGTTTATAGGGCGGTTTATCAAGATACTAACATTCACCTACAGAGGCAGGTGCACACTGCTGGTTACATACACACAGAGACTCGCAGCAGCACACAAACATGCAAAAAATACAAAATAAAAAGCTTACAATGTGAAAAATCATTAATGTGCACATCAAGATATTATTAAGAAATATATGTCAAAATAGTTATCCATGATATTTTCAGAATTAGCTAATCACAGTAATGACGAATGAAATCGACTTTTTATGGTGAATGTTTTGTGACAATATTCATTAAATAAAAATGTCATTTAAATGATTATTTAAATTATAATGTACGTTGTCATTTAAATGACTATTGATAAAAATGCCATTTAAATTATTTAAACATAAACATTTAAACATTTTTTTTCTGTTCCGTACTGGGGCTGTACACATCCCAACTTCCCAAAATCCTAAATAAGCTCTCCTAATTTTAGCATAACAGTTAAGTTAAGATAGACAAGGCTGAAGTTGAATAAGCAGCTGTGAGTAGCTGTGTTTGAAGCTGTGAATAAGCAGGCAAGTAGTATAAGTAGCCGAAGTAGCCCTATATATAACAGGATTTTCCTGTAAATGCATATGGAATATACTGTAAGTGTAATTCATACTTGCAAGACATTAACAACAGCGTAATAGTAAAGTATATTACTATACTCTCTTGAATGAAAGCAATTCTGACATTTTAGCCAGTTTTGTCCTGATTTGAAATCATGACACCCACCCACTACTTTATAGTTAGACATTCTATCACTGATTTGCAAGTCATGTCATTGATATCTTGTCACCATGTGGGTCAATTAACCTTGTCGGAGCGGGCACCTGATTCTAGTTTGTGGGCTTGGTAGGGCACTACACCAGAAGTCCGAGATTGGGATTGGGGTGGAGGTGGGCTGGCCTCAGGACTGTACTGATGCAGTTAGTAAAATAAGTTTCACTACGAAATACTACCAAATAAACCACAATTCATTCATAATAGTATGAATGTAGTTTCACGGACATATTGTTGTATTCTTGTCTGGTTTGTGCGAAATCATTAAGAATAATATTGTGGCGCTTGGCAGACCAAGGCAACGTAGTGGCAATGAATGACGATTTTATATTTGTGATTTCAGTGATACAGATTTGATTCATGCCTTGTATTTGAATTGAGCAGTTGGAGACCGCTGGCAGAACCGGGTTGCCAGGGGACTCTGGTGATGCAGGTCCCCCTGGCCTTGGCCTTTCTTCTTCCACAGCTTTGGGGGACCTGTTGTTGACCACCAGGCTGGTTCTCTCACGGGGCCTCCTGCTGGCCAGATTGGATGGTCCCACACAGCTGCTCCAGTTCCCACCAGTACTGGCTGTGCTGCTCCTCCAACTCTCCACCCTCATGGGCCAGCTGGGCCTCCAAGGTGCGACACGGCTCCGCTTCCACAGCCGCTTCTGGTCCTTTTGGCTCTGCTGCCACTGCTCTTCAAGTTCACACCACTTCTGAGCCAGCTGGGCCTGAAACCTGTGGCATGCCTCCTCCCAACAGGTGAGCTGAGCAGGCAAAGCCTCCAGGAACTCCTGCCTTCCTCAGTCACCGGTGCCATCTCACATGGGCTGCTGAGTGGCTCAATGGGCTACGTCTCTGTGCCCATGATCCGCAGATTGCTGGTTCAAGCCCTGGCCTCAGCAGAACAGTCACATGTCCGTGGGCCTGTGAGCAAGTCCCATAAGCGGCTCCAGGGGCGCTACATGTTAACCGACTCTATACTATGATTCCCCCCTAAGCTAAGGAGTGTGAGATGGGCGTAGCAAAAAATAAGCGTTCCAATGTATCTGTACTTGTGCAAATAAAGCATGCCTATTGTTGTTTTTTGTTTCAGGGGCATGCTGCGCAGGTCTGCGGCTTCTTGGAAGGATGGGGCAGCACCCCTCTCTTTCCACCATCCCCCAGTTGTTCAGAGGCTCTATTACAGGCTTCCAGCAGACAAGTGTCTCTTCTCAGAAGCTGTGGTCCAGAGCCAACCGTGTGGCAAATCAGCCACCACCATTTCTCCTGCTCTACCATGCAACAGCTGCCTTCAGCTCTGCCAGGCCGGAGTGGGTTTATTGGATTATGTTCAGGAGTGCTCGCTCCAGTGGGGTTGCTTCTGACATCCCATTTCTGACACCAGTGCAGTGCTTGGCTATGCTAACGATACGTGAGGATCGGATAGGGTACAGGCAAACACACACACGACAATAGGAAATACAACACAAGTATTAATATTAACATTAACAGGACTAGGGGCTTTGTACACTGTCCCAGCATGCTCAACGCATCTCGCCGGCACTGCAATATAAAGCCGGTCTGCACACCTACAAGGTGAGTTGGTTTGGTCTGTGGGGGGGGGAAATTGGAGTACCCAGAGGAAACTCCATGACGACATGGGGAGAACATGTAAACTCCACACACATGTGACCCAGGCGGAGACTCGAACCCGGGTCCCAGAGGTGTGAGGCAACAGTGCTAATCAAATAACACCAAAGAGTAAAGTACATAGATTTTATTCTGACAGGCTTCCACTCATTGTTTTATCACATTTATTTGCCTGTCATCCCGCCCAGCGTGTCCCCCTGCCTTGTGCCCTGTGCTACCAAGATAAGCAGTTTGAAGACAATTAGAAGATTTTATTTATTTAGTGTGACAAAAATGATGATATATTTTTCTTAAAGCTTATAATAAATAAATAAAATACCAATTTTAAAAATAAATTTTATGTAACCAAAAATAAAAATACCAATGCGATATAAAACTAATTACTCTGTGTGTCAAATAACTGTATAAAGCCCCTGATTTCTCCTGTGCACATCATTTTACAAATTTTCGAAGGTATAATTTATTAACATAAATGTACAATTAATACCCACTCAGTCATTCTAAACTGAAATTCAAAGTTACATGCAGAGCTGCACCCATAACAGTTCTAAGATTTAAAAAAATATTTGTTTGATTAAAAGTGAGCGACCTGACTTTGCTCAGCCTGCTTACTGATCAGCACATGTGTCCTACCTGAGCAGATAGCTCCAGCGTCCTGGTGATGACCACAGTCATTACGTCCCCATCCATTGTGCCCACAGTCCTTCAGTGTCGACTCTGACCCTTTACAGGCCACATCTTCCATCCATATCTTCCCAGTTCCTTCTCCAAATTGACCATACCCTTTTGCTAGTACCACTTCTCCACAGAACATCTGTCTACACACTACTGCAGCATCCTCTGTATCCCACCAGTGATGACACACTGTGCCCCACTGTCCTTCATGGAAAACCTCCACTCTCCCAGCACAGGGACTTTCAGCATTCACCAGCCTCACGTCACCTGGAAGCACAGGACAGTCACTGTAAGCAGGCTCTGGGCCTGAAGCAAGCATGTCATACTGGGCCTCCAATCCAGGCAAATCTAATTATATTCCAGATTTATTAGGGCCTTCGTCACTCAAGGGCTTTTGGACTCATTCTAACTCCATCAACCCCCACTTATGGCACCCCTGTGTTGCATTCATGACGTAACATGTATGTTATAAGCTTCACATTCACATCTGTTAAAAAAATTTGATTAAAACAATGTCAAACTGTATGCCTGGTTAATGAATATGTAAGAAAAATATGGCTGTTAAATGCTCTGAAAATAATTTATGTCTAATAAGCAGACACATGTGGGGGGGGAGGTTACCTGAAGCATTAGAGGTGTTTACCTTCGAAGGCTTACTTTTGAGCGCTAATGCAACCCCTCCCCCTGAGTTGAGAGTTTTTACTTTCAGACACCTGCCTCTCAAAAACATCTCTGCACGTCCCTGCTAATAATCCATGGGGATCCCAATCGTTTAATGACTGCGGACTGGCTCATGTTGTGCCAAAATTTCATGTGAGACTCGATGACCCAGATATAATAATTCAGCTGTTCCCCATTTTTCAGATGCCATCAGAACACAGGCTGGTTAGGGGACATTAGCAAAGGCTTGACTTGAAAATATATAGTTTGTTTTAGGAAATTAACCTCCAGCTTTCTGTGGACCTATAATAATGTGTAATAACCCTGAAATAATCTGCTTAAAGTACATGGAAGCTTTATGAAGATCATTGAACTGATTACTTCATGCACTTAAAAAGTAGTTTTTTTTTACTCTTGACATGACTATTTAAAAACTACAACTAAAAATAAATGATCTGCTTTAATTTCTATAAATGTACTGCCATCTAGACATACTATTAACAACAGAAACTCTTAACAAGGAAACTCTTATTTTATTCAGTGAAGTATTTCAATGTACTTTCATTAATTTTATTAATAAATCAAGGTTAAAGCAAAAATGACTGTGAGAACATGCAAATGCTGTGGGGCCATCACAATGATACACATACCAACATGCCTTTGCACCACACCGTTAGGCGTGATTTAATCTGTAACATAATGTGTGCATTCGTGTACTTGTGATGTACAGTAACTAGGAACTGTTGTAAATATGTAATGTTTTATTGTGGTGTGCGTCTGTTTGCATTAATGTCTACCCTGAGTACCAGTGTATTCGGAATTACAGGCTTCCATGTTTGTGCTTCTGCTACAGTTTTAGACCAGTAGTAACTGTCAATAAAATGTTAAAATGAACTGTCATTTCCTTTATTAAAACAACACTGGAGCTACACTGGTGTCAGAAGTGGGATGTCAGGTCTTCAGATGCTATCTATGAAACCTGGTCTGAAAACATCAGATGCTCAAGACTTCAGGATAGCACTGGGAGGACGTGGCAGCCCTGGAAACCATGCAGTGTGACTTCCTAGGGTGACCCAATGGAGCTACCGTGCTGCACTGCCAGCTCCAGATATCAGAGGGAGCCACAGCCCCATAATGAGATGCACCACCAAATTCGAAATTGGCTGTCTGCGGAACATAGACCACTGTAAAGCTTCCCTGCTATAGCAGAGTGCAGCTACTGGAGCCCTACCTCCTCCAAGTGTGGTTCGAGGTGTGGCATAATGGCTGTTCCCCCACAGAGACAGTGGTCCACCTGGTACTGGCAGTTCAAGGAAAAGGTCCTCCTCAGCCTCACCCTAGATGAGCTGCAGGATTTTACTGCTCTGGCTGCAGCATTGGGGTGACAGTTCTAGACCCATCAGTATTGAAGGAGCCAAGTTTGCACTATTTGTGGTGCCTCTCTTAGAGGGGTGCATGAACTGGACTGATAGCACCAAGGTACAGAGACAGGCAGATTTTTGGCATCGGGGATTCAGATTGAGTGTACTGGCCCATTTACAACAAGCGGTGGTCACTCAAGCTGGACAGCCACTGGAGGGGACCGGGGGAGATCCTTGAACACCTCTCCGACATCATCTATCACCTGTGGCTGCCCAAGCAGTGAAAGGTTGTGGTCCCACACAGGGATTGCCTGGCACTGTATCAGCCCCTGGTGGTCAACCTGACTCACCTGCAGTGCCAGTGGACAAAGACATACCAGGAGAGGAAAGTAAAACAGGGGCCTTGGGGATCATGATATGCTGGACAAAGTGACAGTGCTGGCCTCCACTATGGTTGCGGGTCATTGTGTCACAATCTGACACTGCAAGCCAGTCAAAAAAGATTTCATTATTCATGTATTACCATGGTTTGTGCTGTGCTGTGCTGTTCTGTGCGATTTAATCTGCAATTTAATGTCTGTGTTCTTGTATTTATGTTGTAAATATTAAGTGCTATAGCTGTGTAATGTATTTCCATAGTGCGTTTGCAATTGCATTTGCACTTAGTGTGAGTGTTGTGTGAATTATTGGTTTTCCTATCTGTACCACTGCTAGTTTTAAACCAATAGTGGCTGTCAATGAAGAGAGAAACTTCCAATTCAAGCAGCTTCCAAGTCGTCTCCTTTGTTAAAATGACTCATGCACTAGCATAATATACAGTATTAACTTGTATTGTAATGTACTATTCTTTTTATCTTACAGTCATGACCAAAAGTTTTGACAATGACACATTTTGTTTTGCAAACTTCAGCATTTTTAGATGTGTTTTTTATGTGTTTCTGTGGTATACATGTCATAAGTTTCAATGGCTTTTATTGGCAAATACATAAGATTCATGCAAAGTGTCAATATTTACAGTTTTGACCCTTCTTCATACTTTCTGCAATTCGCCCTGGCATGCTGGATATCAATTTGGTGATGATCTGTGTATTTTCCAGCATGATCGAGCACCGTGTCACCCAGCAAAAGTGGTAACGAAATGGCTCAGAGATCATAACATTGTACTTTTGGATCCGTAGCCAAGAAACTCCCTAGATCTTAATCCCATGGAGAAGCTGTGGTCAATTCTCAAAAAGCGGGTGGACAAGCAGAGGCCCACAAATTATGATCAGCTCTGAGCACAAACAAGGCAAGAACGGATCCATCAGTCAGGATTTGGTTCAAATTGCAGTTATGAAGAAGAAGGTTCCACACTATAAATATTGACCCATTGCAGAAATCTGATGTATTTGCCAATAAATGCCTTTGAAACCTATGGAATATTTATTATTGTTCTTCAGTATACCCTAGAAACACGTAAAAAAATATCTAAAAATGCTGAAGCAGCAAAGTTTGCAAAACACGTTTGTGTCACTGCCGAAACTTTTGGCCATGACTGTGCAGGCATATTGAACTTGATAAATCATTTGAGTATCTGTTCATATACTCAGATAAGAATAACCAGCAAAATCATATCATACACTGATTATCACTTGAGTTTATACAGGAACAATCAGATCACCAATATATCATAATAATAATTTACATTAAAATAATTTAAATTTAAACTGACATTTTCCTTGGAGCATCTTTAATGCCAATTCTGATACAATGATAATAGTTCTGCAGAAGTCGTAACAAATGTATGTAAAATTTATGTTAATAAATTCATATTGTCATGTTACCGTTCAGCATTATGAATTTTTACATTATTAAGACATATGGGTTCTGGTACCACAATAGAAAAAAAAAACACAAAAAATACAAAAAGATGTGTAGTGGTAAAACCAGCCACTCTGCAACTTTTTATATAATCAAGTTCAGAGTACTGGGTACCTTTCAATTTATTCAGTTTAGCACCCAGGCCCTGCCATGCAATTAACAGCTAATTTTTCAGACCCAAATAATGACCCTTGACCTCTGCTGGCTGAGAGTGGACCACTGGAGCAGAGGAAGATCATGGAACTTACTGGCTCTGGTGAGCAGAAGCAGGCATGAGAGA